TAAGTTGCCCTGTGTAGAAGGGCCCAATTGAACAACTTTCAGCCAGTTACCAATCTCCCTTTTTTGGGCAAAGTCACAGAACGTGTGGTGTCCTTGCAACTCCAAGTGTTCTTGGAAGAAACAGATTATCTGGATCTGGCACAGTCTGACTTTAAACCAAGTCCTGGAACTGAGATAGTCTTGGTTGCCTTAGTGGATGATCTGTGTAGGGAACTGAGCAGGGGGAGTGTGTCCCTGTTGGTTCTCCTGGACCTCTAAGTGGCCTTTGATACAGTTTACCATGATATCCTTGTGTGACGCCTTGCAAGAATGGGTCTTGGAGGTAATGTTCTACAGCAACTCCAGTGCCATGCTAACCTCTGTGCAATACTGTTATCTATGGTGTCACTGCCATAGCCTCCCACAAGGATGATAAAACAGCAGAACATCTGGGAATCCCCTGTCTTTGCAGACGGCCAATTCGCTCACACCAGAAGTGACCTGCAGTTTCTCAAGTTGCTCCTGACATTAAAAAAAACCTCACCTACTGCTGATGCACAGTAGCTGTTTGGCATATTTTGTAGTCTGTTTGGCATATTTAGTAGTCTGTCTGACATGAAATATCCTACTAGTAACACTGCTGTCATCAACATGACCTTTTTCCTAAGAGGAACTTCCACCACTATGGAAAGAATAGTGCCATTGGTATTATTGTTTACAGAACCCTAAAATCTTTTACCTGAATCAAATCTCAAATCTTAATGACATACTGGATCAATTGATCAAATATTAATTGTGACTTTTTCTGCCTTCCTTGATGAAATCATTTTTCTAATGTCTCTTTTATTTTAGTGCTCAAATGTATTGAGGGCGCAGGGAGCATACAACTCCTCTGCTGTACCAGCTCCACTGGCTGCCGATTAGCTACCGGACCCAATTCAAAGTGCTGGCATTGGCCTTTAAAGCCCTAAACGGTTCTGGCCCAACATATCTATCCGAACGTATCTCAGCCTATCAGCCCACCAGGACCCTAAGATCTTCTGGAGAGTCCCTGCTCTCTGTCCCTCCGGCTTCAGAAGTGCGGCTGGCGGGAACGAGAGACAGGGCCTTCTCTGTGGTGGCCCCTCGGCTTTGGAATGCCCTCCCTATAGAGATAAGATCAGCTCCCTCGCTGTTGGTATTTCGAAAAAAACTTAAGACATGGATGTTTGAACAAGCATTCGGGTAATCCGGTGCGATGAAGTTGATGACAAGGACTGGTAATTATTGACGATGAATTCGGATTATGATTTTAACTAAGAGATGCATTGGTCGGTATTGGTGGCCCGATACTGTGTACTGTATATGTTTTTTATGCTTTTAAATTGTTTGATTATTGTTGTTTTTAAGTACTGTTAACCGCAATGAGTCGCCGTTGTAGGCTGAGATATTGCGGTATATAAGCATACAAAATAAATAAACAAAATAAATAAACCTATAGCTCTAACACAACATGGTGCACTTGTATCTCTTCAGAACAAATGGCTCATTCCATGGTTAATATAACCTTATCAGTGAAAAGGGACCTTTGTATCATGTGTTTTATGCCTCAGTACACAAGGCTAAGCATATAAAATGGCTATTGATCAGTGTCAGTGACTTGGTAAGAGATATAATGTTAAAGAGGTGTTATATGTTTTAAAGAAGAGTTTAGAGGATATGTCAAATAAAGTGAGTCCTTGGCTGCCTGACACTCATTTATGTGTATGTGTGGATCAATTTAAATGAGGTCATGTTCCCTGCTGAAGAAATGTGCATTGCTACACTTCATCCATATTATCCAGATTCTTAGTACTGTGGGATATTTACAATGTCGACATTCAACAATTTGATAGTGATAATTCACTGCTATTCCTACTATGTTCTTAAGAACAGGAGATAGTGGTTTCCATGACTGCACTGTTTAGAATCACAATTTCATTCAAATGTTCACAGAAGCAATGGAAGTGGCAGGAACTGGATCTTCCAAACTCCCATATTACCAACAGCAGGAATTCTGACAATCCTGTTTGAATTACTTCATAGTAAGAAACAATAAGAGGACTGAACAAACTGTCAATTCTATACTGAGGAATCCATGAGAATGAGGAGAGTGGCAGAATTGTGACTGCCTGTTTTCAAACCTCCTCTGAGTCTGGAGCTTTAGATGTGACCTCGTGAGTCCGGAGCATAATAATAACAATAATAATAATAATAATAATAATAATAATAATTTAAAAACAGTGCCTAAGAGACAACTAGCACCTCTTATGAAGGATGTGAATACATTACTTTCTACTGTCCAAATAACATCAATTAAACAAACAGTACATCAGTGATAGTAACAGAAGAGCTTGGGCTCCTACAACCAATGCGCCATCCGAGAAAATCAACTGGAAAACCAAAATGGAAAGTCAAGTTGGAATTGAAAATCAAAAATCTATGATCAGATGCAAGTAACCTGAAAAATATGAAGGAGAAGAAATTGAAGAATGACAAAATCAAGCAAAAACTACTGGCTGAACACCAGAAAAATTGAAGAGGCTTTGGAAATCATGAAATAACAAATTACAGCGACAGCCAGAAAAATTGAAAGATATGACGCCAGAATCATCCAGTGCAGACAAAATCAACTGTTTCAAACAGACCAAAGATGGTTCTACCAGACTCTGAAACAAACAACAGACACAGTAGTCATAAAGTCTGAGAAAACTGCAACAACTACATTTTGGAAAGAACTCTGGGAAAATAATAAGAACTACAACAAAAACGCTGGGTGGATAAAGGAGTTTGAAGAAAAATTCTCACAGAACAAAATGGATCAGATGGAAATAACAACTGAAATGATCAGCAAACAAATACAAAAAGTAAAGAACTGGACATTGCCTGGTAGTGATCAACTGCATGGATTTTGGCTAAAATATCTGACTGGCCTACATGGGAAATGGCCCAACAATTCAATGAGATGCTGCAAAAAGGAAGTATCAGTGAATGGTTAACAACTGGGAAAACATATCTGAAACAAAAGGATCCAGTAAAAGGAGCAGCACCAGGAAACTACAGGCCGATAACATGTCTGCCCACTATGTTTAAACTATTGACCGGCACCATAGCTGACAGAATTCAAGATTATCTTGAAGAAAATAACATCTTGCAAGATGAACAGAAAGGCAACAAACGGAAAAGCAGGGGCACAAAATACCAATTATTAATTGACAAAATGCCTCTGGAGAACTGCAAAAGCCGAAAAACCAATCTTCACATGACGTGGATTGACTACAAAAAAGCCTTTGACTCACTTCCACACAGTTGGATCATCAAGTGCCTAGAAACCATCAGGATTTGTAAAAACATTGGCACTTTTATTGAAAATATGATGAAGCACTGGAAAACTGAACTGTTTGTTGGAAATGAAAACTATGGACTTGTCAACATCAGAAGAGGAATTTTCCAGGGAGACTCATTGTCCCCACTGCTATTCATCATTGCCATGATCCCTCTGTCAACAATCTTACAAAAAACAAACCTCTGCTATCAAACATCTCAGAGATCTCACAAAATTTCACATCTGCTGTAAATGGATGATCTGAAGCTGTATGGGAAAACTGAAACTGAAATTCAGTCTCTGACTAACACTGTCCAAATCTTTAGCACGGAT